GATTGATACTTGAATGAGTTTTTGAATGATGAATAAACAATGATGCAAGCCTTAAGACCTCAATATTGCATCTTGCATTAGAGATCCAAATTAATTACATGAATTGATATTGTACCATCATGTATTTTTTCTTGTGATGAATGATTATTTGAATCAAGTTTCTTTTCCCAATATCTCCTTAGTAAATGCCTCATGTGAATTCAAATGGCCATGGTGTGAATCCATCAAAATAATCACATAAAAATAATCTTGAATAAATGCAATGTGAGGAATAATTTGAATTTTGAATGAGCCCTTTTTGATAACTTCTATTTAATTAACACTTGAATTCACATGATAAAAATTCCAAGTATTCCAAAAAAATTCTTCCAAAACGATCTTGAATTTAATCACCCCACTCTAACGAAATTCAAGTCGCGTCATGTAAGCATAATAAATTGAACCATACTTAAAAGCTTCGAATGATCACTAGAAGAGGGATTTGAGGCAAAACGTTATCGCATTGAGAAATTGGCACAGTGAACTGAACTTAGAGATTCAGAAACTCTTAAATCATGACGAACGTCCCATAAAGGCTTTTCATGGCTTTCTAAACACAATTCGTCTTTAACTTTTAAAGAAAACTTGCAGATGACTTTTGGTCGAAGTGTTTGGAATTGACTTGTATAGCCTGATCTTTTCTTGTATTTCAAGGCAAGGTGAAACACACGTGAACCAATGGTCACAGAACCTTGACTGTTCTTTTAAATAATTTTAGAGGAGCTTGAGGACACTTGTTGAAATAGAGCGTGGAAATAAACACATGATTCTCTTGACGAATCAGTCTTCGAGAATCAATGATAAAATTCACTTCTGGCTTGAGAGACTCAAAACCCTAATTGGGGTGTGACGCCTGATGCTCTTGATCCAGATCTATTTCTGCACATGAAATCAAAGAAATAAAAAACATACACTTCGTGCTTAATTAGATGTTAGTCATGCATAAGATAAAATGTTCACAACACTCGATAATATCTGCACAGGTAATGCTCGAAGGTGAGACATTCGAAACCGACCATATTTCGTGACCTTGATGTATATGCAAATGAAGATGGGATCTTAGGTCAAAAATTGGGGTATGAAAATGTCCTGTTTAGTTTGGTTATTGATTGATTAACATGTCGTATAAGATGTTGGAACATTTGTTACGATTCTGGAATGATGAGTTTTGTATCAGGTTGGTGTTTCTGTCCATGAGTATTTTGCAGAGATCAATATCTCAACATGTGTTAGGATATGTGTAATCTGTATACCAGAATTCCAAATAGCCTCAGCTGCAAGTGTGTTATCATTCACGAAATTTCACCATGTTTTTCAACGCTTGACTGATTTTTACAAACCAATCATTCATTCTCATCATATGCGTTGAACACCCGGAATCAAGGTACCATTGATCGCTATATTTTGCATCTTCTCGTGTAGTTACCATCATGATTTCAAGCGTTTGTACCCGATTTTGGTTGCATTTTTCAGTGTTGTTTTCTGCTTCAACAATCACCATTAATAGTGTGCTCTTATCATGTTATTTCCTTATAAACTTTGCTTCAGCTTATCGTGGATCATTATGGTTGGCTTGACATTAGCGAGCGAAATGTCCATGCTTTTGGCAATTATAATATTTAACACTGCTCTTGTAACTTTTCCATCATCCTCATGTCTCTATTATTGCCACATTTGTAATTGTTTGATCCACCACCTTTGTTGCAACTATTTTCACTCTTTTGAAATGTTGAATTGGAATTTTGGGAATCTCTCCTACCACTGATGTGGTAGTTTCCTATACTCCTACTCATGAACCACGTTCCCTTCAATTTCTTGTCCTTTTTCAACGAAACAAGCTTGCAAAGCAACTTCAACCTTTGCTTTGTCAACATTCCTCTCTTCTATTCTCGGCTCATGAGCCTCAAGAGAACTTTGCAACTCTTCTTTGCTCATGGTCGAAAGATCCTTGGACTCTTCAATAGCAACCACTACGTTATCAAATCTTGATGTCAACGATCTCAAGATTTTACCGGCCACATACTGCTCGGTGATTGCCTCTCCGCAAGCTTTCACTTGATTCACCAATCTGGTGATTCTTGTAGTAAATTCACTAATAATTTCCTTCTCTTCCATTTGAATTAACTCCAGATGCTTTTGTGATTTTGTAACCTCACCACCTTTGTCTTATCAGCTACTGCATAACCTTTCTCCAAGATTTCTCAAGCTTGCTTTGAGAATGTGTAGTCACCAATGTTTTCAAAATTCAACACATTGATGAATGAGATACAAAGCTTTGAAAGCTTTTGTCTTCTCTTTCTTTTGTGTAGTTCTTTGTGTCGTTGTTGCACCTTCTACAAGTGGATTAACACGGTTCTTGATCACTTCAAGAACATCTTGATAACCAAACAACACCTTCATCTATTTGTGCCACCTGTCATAATTCTTCGCATAATTTGGATATTTGTGTTGGAGATGAAAAGCATTTTTACACATTGAGTGTTCGATCAAAAAATTAGGCTCTTGATATCAAATGTTGGGGAAAAACTCAATCACAAGATAAAGGATCAACAATGGAGAGATGAAGAGAATAAGATGGTTAGAGAGAATTAGGGTAAAATTATGATTGTTATTTCATTAATGATCCAACATGAATATTTATACAACAATACACATCAATGTAGCTAACCAACTAAAACAGAAAATAAATTTTTTTAATCTTGTAATTAGTTAAACAAAACCTTTGATCGATCACACGAGGCTTATGTTTTCAAAAATACTAAAAATTGAAGGTTGGTAACTGGTTACAATAATTTTGTAACCGATTACATAATACTTCTGTTTGATACTAACTCCTACCTAAAGGATGATAATCGGTTACACTCCTCCTATAACAAGTTACACCAACTTAAATGACTCTATTCTCACAACATTAATTAAACAAGAGGCATTATTAGATGACTCATTTATTGGCTAAACATACCTTTTCTGATTCTGATATGTGTGGTTAGAAAATATTACCTTTTTATATCTTATTTGTATTTCTCTGACGATCTTGTTGGATCTTAATTCTCCTTCTATATAATTTGTTTTTTTACAACTAAGATTAATTTCTCACTAAAATTTGAGGGAATATATGTGATCTGCTGCAATTCTTCATTTCTCATTAAATGATGCCATAAATTTTACATCCTTAAATTGCGCACCTGCACACAATATAAGATAGTGTGCTATTAAGGAAATATTTCAACTCTATGGAAATTATAATTTTTTTATGCAAGGCAAATAAAATATTCTATCCACTTTTCATCAAGAGAATATATCCCACACGCGCCATGAGGTAAAATAGTATATAAGTATGCAACAACGAAATTAATTAGGTTCCCGCAATTTCTACTAACATGGCTCACTTTTATCTTGTTTACATTATCATCTCGATTTCGTTGAATCTATGAGCAATGAATCCATGTACTTCTTGTGTAGTAGTAATAGTAAGAGCCAAAACCATGTTCCAGGGGTATTATTATAGCCTCACAAGAACTTTGATGTGAAGTAAACGTTATATGTGATTTACTGTCTGTTGTCGTAGATTATTGAGACCAAGTTGCACCGTAATTAATGCTCTAGTAAGCGAGTCTGGCCATGTAGTCAGTCGTACATAACCTGTGGATGTGGCAATGGTATTAAATGTGACTGCATGCATGTGCGATAAGTTTGCAATATACTAGACATGCATTCAAGGGATACTAAGATCCATAACTTTAGGCTCCTTTTAAAATAATATTATAATGTTCTCACATCCTATAACATCCTATAACATCATTATCAATTTCGGTTTTTCTATTAAACTGAACCATACTATGACACCACTAATTAAGGAGTTTAGAATTATTCGAGCAACAACAAAATCAATACTCCAAGATCACAAGTGATTGGAATGTCACGTATTCATCAAATATGTAGGATTTAATAACTCACACAAGCTTGAATTGTATTATAATAGGGATATTGAAGTAAGAGAAAAGGAAGTGGCTAAGGTTTTAATTATGTGAAAAAATAAATTATGAAAATAAGAATTACTTCTAGTGGCTAAGGTTTTAATTATGTGAAAAAAATAAATTATGAAAATAAGAAGGAAAATTATATGGTGAAGTTGACATTTTGACTTTTTTGAAAAAGTCACAGTGCTAGCCAATCACAAAGGTTCTTGAAACTCTATTATGCTATATAGAATTATGTTATACATCCAATTTATTATGTAACTTCATAATTGTTAATATTGCAATTAAGTCCTAACATATTTGCAACTAAGTCTCATTCATTATTCATTCAATATTATTAATTTTTAACTTTAAATTTGATATTTTAACAAAATCAAAATTATTTCAACTACCTTCTTCCCCAACAAACCCCAACGAACATAACTTCATCTTCTACAACTTCATCTTTTGTAACTTTATCTTCTTTATTATCCACATTCATCTCCATCCAACGCAATCGTAAAATGACCACTAACGAATACATGTTTCATCTTCTTCTTTCGTAATCGTGAGTTTTCTTCCCTGCAACACTGTTCAACGAGCAAACCTTCAATATTATCTCATTCATTCGCGCTCCTCACACAATTCGTATTGATACCCGATTTGCTAAGGTAATTGGGTTTAATATTTAATAATTTCAATTCTTATATGATTTCAATTTGGGAATTAGGTTTTGTGATTAATGTTGTAATCTGAAATTGGATTTCAAATTTAATGTTTCTGATTTTCCATATGGTAGCTGTTAATTAAGTTGGAAATAAATTATCTCAAATTGAAATTTTGGTTATATGATTGATGTCATTGTCTGCACTTGGATTTCAAAATTAAGATAGTCATTATGTTAGTTATTCAATATTTAGGTTAAGATTACATTTCAATTTTGAAAATAGGTTTTATCATTGATGTTAATTATATTTTGTGTTATATATCGGCCGATTTCAGATGGACGACTACGCCGGCTCTGTTGGGGTTGATTTGAACAATGTTCATAACAGTGATTCATCTGATGCTGAATGTAGTTATGATGAAGATGTTAATTATGTTGGTTCCAGTGGCCATCAAAGTTCAAATGATGAAGATGAATATGATAATGACGACGGTGAGGAATCGGTTGGAGCGGAAGTGACAAATAGTGATGCAGTTGTAGGTGATAGAGTAGCGAGTGTAACTTTGATTACTTTCGCTGAAATTCGTGCTTTGGAATTTGGAACTGTGAGTGAAGCTTATGAATTTTATCATAATTATGGAAAATGTAAAGGTTTTTCTATTAGGAAAAACGATGTTAGGCAGAGAGGGCCAGGTAGTGAAATAGTAGTAATTAGGTAGTATGTATGCAACAAACATGGATTAAAGACCAGAAGCACGCAGATAGGGTAGATAAGAAAAGAGAACACCGACGGACGACACATACTAGTTGCGAAGCTAGGCTCCGTATGCACTACAATAACAAAAAGGGAAAATATGTAGTGTCAACTTTTGAAGAGGCTCATAACCATGAATTAACCCCAACAAAGTCTGTGCATCTACACCCTGGTTATCGTAAAATATCTAAGGTAGATATAGCTCAAATTGATGGTCTTTAATCACGTGGAATCAGAACATGTCATATAATGGGATACATGATTGCTCAAAAGGGTGGATATCATGATGTTGGTTTTACAAAGAAAGATTTGTACAATTATGCTGATAAAAAAATAAGTGTTGTTATTAAAGATGGTGATGTTGTCGCTGCACTAAATTATCTCAACGTGAAATCATTTGCGGATCCTATGCTATATGTGGAATATTCTATAAATAGTGATGGAAGATTGAAGTCACTTTTTTGGGCAGACGACACTAGTAGATCAGACTATTTTTGTTTTGGCGATGTTGTTGCGTTTGACACAACTTACCAGAAGAAAAATACAATTATCCGTTGGTTATATTTCCTAGGTGCAACCACCACTCAGTGACCATTATATTCGGTGTTGTATTGGTGTTGGATACAACGACGGAGACGTATAAGTGGCTCTTGAGGTGTTTCTTAGAGTGCATTGAAAACAAACATCCAAAAACAGTGGTAACAGATGGAGATACGGCTATTAGGGGGTCTATAAAACATATTTTTCCTGATGCGACTTATCGGTTGTGTGCTTGGAATTTGAACAAGAATGCAGGTGAAAATGTAAAGAAGTCACGGTTTTTGGAAGGTTTTAAAAAAGCAATGTACTCTAATTTTACACCTGAGCAATTTGAAGAATTTTTGTCGCAGCTGGTTAAGGAGAATGATCTTGAACGAAATGCTTGGGTTGCCAAAACATTTGAGAAAAAGTCATTTTGGGAAACTGCTTATCTACGCGATAAGTTTTTTGGTCGTATAAGAACTACGTCTCAATGTGAAGCTGTTAATGCAATAATCAAGTCTTATGTAAGGAAAAAATTGTGCATTTTTGAATTTATGCATATTTTTTATAAGGCATTGGGAGATTACAAAAATAATGAACTTGTTGTTGATTTTAAATTAAAGTGTTTGGATCATGTGTTGTCAACTCATTTGCGTCTGATTGAGACTGATGTTGCTAAAACTTATACAACGGAGATTTTTACAGAAGTAAAAGAAGAAATTATGAATGCTAGTGCATTAATTGTGAAGGAGCGATTATCAGAAGGGGAAACGATTGCTTTTACATTGACAAAATCTTCTGAGGTTGGGTTTGAAAGAGAAGTTGTATCGGATGCATCAAATGAAATATTATGGTGTTCGTGTAGATTATTTTATTCACGTGGACTACCATGTTCACACATTTTTTGTCATGAAGGAAGAGTATATGGGTCACATTCCTAGTAGTTTTGTATTGTCGCGTTGGACGAAGAATGCCAAAATTGGGTGTCTAAACATGAACTATAATGGGGAAGTAGATTCGAATCTGATTGAGCAGGCTCGTTTTGGGGGATATTGTTCTGTTTTTACAAATTTTTGCAAAGAAGCATAAAAAAAGAGTGGTGTTTATGTGGATCTAATGGATGACATAATGAATCTTCAGAAAACTATTATAATTCTGACGAACCTATTGGTTCCCGAAAGTCACCTGTAGGTGATCGATTACAGTGAAGACCAAAGGTGCTCCAAAGAGAAAAAAGAGTGAAGCAACCAACCATACACTACAAAAACTACAATAGTTCCACTCATGATGCGAGGAATTGTTCGGTAATAAATATCTTCTTTGTGATCAGATTCTTATGATATATATATATATATATATATATATATATATATATATATATATATATATATATATATATATATATATATATATATATATATATATATATATATATATATATATATATATATATATATATATATATATATATCTTGTATTGGACATTATATTCTAGCTATTTTGGTAATTTTTCCAGAACACACAAGACGAGACATCTGATCAGAATGTTGTGCTCGAGTCAATGCTGATAAATGATTCTTTAAGCATAATGCAAAAGGTATATTCAGTTTTGTTAACTTTTTATGTTTACAATTGTTTTGAAATATTTATTGAATTTGTATATACATAAAAATAAAAGGAAATTCAATTGCAATGCTAGCAGTAACAGGCCAAAAAAACATTCACAAACACCACAAAGTCAATATGGTAACGTTGTAATGACGCCACATATGGATGTTACAAGTAGACATGTAAATACAATGTATGAACTTCAACATATGATGCACGTTGGACAACCTATAATGCATCAAATATCTATGGTACAACCCATGTACCCAATGTATGAAATGTCGGTTGGGGAAAATCCTTCGTGCTTTGGTCTGTTGCAACATGTGATGAAATTTGGTGTTCATTAGTGTGGGTTTTTTTATGACTTTCCAATGCTAGTACAACATTTAGTGTTTTTAAATAGACATAATGATTAATGAATAATTATGTTTGGGATGTACTATGGAGTTTTTATGGTTAAGTTTGTGAGGAATATTTAAGTTTGGGATATATTAAAATTTTGAAGTAGTATATGCTTCATACAGTTTAATTATCATTCACATTTGGTTTGTGAAAAAAATTAATAGTGGTTCTATCAAATTGGGCCCATATAAAACAAAATCGTATTAGGTATGTGAACAAAATTGGGCCCAGTCTAAACAAATATTATTAACATTTCAATCGGGCCCTGTGTAACCAAATATTATGAACATTCCAATCGGGCCCAATTATAAATTTTAGGTATGCTTGGTTATGGTTTTCAATGAAAATTAGTTTAAAGGAATGCAACAAAAGTTATTTACTAGTAATTGATACGCATTACCAAGTGAATTACATCCAAAATAGTATTCATTACAAGAACAACCCTACATATCATCCAAAATATCCATCTGAAAAGTAAAGTTACCAAACAAAGTTATCTTAACTACAACATATTTGGTTAACCTAAAGAAAGCCCTCAAAGTATCCCACCCATTAAACAACCTTGGAGCCGCCACATTTCTATCAAAGTGCATCACATGGTTATAACCGTCCCTATCATAAAATCTCCACCTTGTCAGTAAAATGTCTATGAAATGATTCACAGACATAGGATCAATTTCACCCTCAGCCTGAAATAATTAAATAATATTAGAACTCCATAAAAAAACATTAAAAACCTAAACCTCATACATTTAAAGGGAGACATGAATAGTACCTAATCTGTTAGTACGGTAGAAAAGGAACCTAAAGCATACAATTTTTCACATGTAATGTAAAACTCGGAATTTCCCTTATATTCAAAATGAACAATATCTTGAATATGATGTCCCATGTGGTCCACAGTCGCTTGCCAAATTTTTATTTTAACAGTACTTGGCTCCGTCATGTGTATGTCATAGACCAGACAAAAATAATTATCGCTAACATCGTACACGTGCCAAAATTTGGAGTTTGAGAGAGGAGCATAGTGTTGCTGGAAGAAGGAGAGAGGAACCACAATCGTACACTTCAAATAAAGATAAGACATCAACAGACATTACATAATATAGTACTACTACAAAAATAGTGTCACAAAAGATTTTAAAATGCAGAAAACTTACCCATCTTCTTTCATAAGTGTAAGTCCAAGATGCAATGGTTGGTTGGCTGATAATTTTTGTCATCCACGACATTGTTGTTGATTGATGAAGATGAATGAAGAAGTTTGTATTTTTGGGAAGGGAGGTGAATCATAATTAAGGAGTTATAGAAGTTGCATATCATTGACATTTTATAGTGGGGTTTTAAGGGTTTTCAAAGTCAATCATTGACATTTTATAGAAGTTACACCATGACGGTTTGGAATAAAAATTGGTAAAATTTTATATATTAAAAACGAAAAAATTAAATTTGTTTAGTTACTCCTACACTATCACGGTTTGGAATAAAAAAAGGTATTTTATGTAATAAAAAATAAAAAAAATTAAATATGTTCATTTAATCCTACATCAAGAAAAGATTTTTGTACAAATATGTTAATTTGATTGTACCAAAAAAACTAAGGAGTGGGTGGTTCATATTCCAATGCGACGTGGGGATGATTTGAAGTAGCTTTTTGTGCAAGCTATTGTCCCATCATCTTTAGTCTATGGCATGAAGATACAATATCTATGTGACATGATGATTCATCCATCAAGATCATAATTATGGAGTTGGTGAAGAATCAAGGGCTGTTGAATAAAAATACTCCTAGTGTACTAGCGAGAAGGTTTCAGTTTCCATATCTTTGTTACTATAGTTCACACATTTCGTTTTGAAAATATGTTAGTATAAATATACAAGTATATATAGTATTAATTAATGATTTTTTATTAATTAATCATTCGTTTATGTAATAAAAATAAAAATACATATTATTTAAAACAACCGAGATCATAATATTTAAGGATAACAATGTCAATAATCAAAGTTAAATACAACAAAGTTTTAGACAATCAAAATAAAAAGGATTAAAAAAAGAATTACAACAATGACAACTGAAATGAATCTGAGAAACCTAAGAATGTTTTTTACAACAATGACTTCTTTATTTGTATTGTGGAGATCTCTCTTGATTGATTCAAAGGTGGTATGTTGAACATTGTGGTCACAACTTTCAGCGATGTCCGAATCATTGGTAGAAAAATTTGTAGGATGTGCCCATATCCAGAAAATGCAACCTTTGTCCTTACATGTGTAGTAAAGTTTTCTAGGATTTTTCTCAGTTCCTGAAATATTGAGAGTTTCAACCTTGTCACAAAAACATAGCAACTTTTTGTACTGCAGTTGGCTTGGTCCTCTAACGAAATTCCCACTAGTATTTGAGGAAGACATTTTTTGTGGAAGTGTTTTAAG